GAATGTGGTCTTTGTGCCTATGATGCATTATTCCATCTGGTTCTGTCTGCAGGTTTTTTGTTTTCTTATCTTTTTGTTTTCTGGTTTGTTGGTTCCTCACAAACTGGTGCTTGGAGCTTTGTGTTAGCTCCAAGCTTCTCTTTATTGATGCATTGTATCACTTTTGTATGCTTTCATCAATAAAGATTTCTTTTGTTGATCAAAAAAAATATATACATATTTTTTTATTAAAATCAAATCTAAATATATTGGATAAAAACAATATTAAATCGTAAACCTTATATACCTAATGTTATATTGATGGTAATATTTTTACACCCCAATTGTAATCTAATTGGAAATTACACAATATATCACTAACTGTTGGTGATAATTACAAATAACACACCAGAAAATACAAATAATAAAATTACAATAACTTATTATCAAGGCTGAGGCGCGGGAAACTCGCTCTCTTTAAGGAGATTAAAGCCCTCTGTGGTTAGGCAAAACCTCACACCGGTGCAGCAGAAAAAACCTTGACTTGTCCCCCCAGGATACAACAGCCCCACTAAGTCGTATGGGTCACCAATACTGCACAATTGGTTAAACCCAAAACTTTATCACACATACCCTTTTTATTTGCCTGATAATCTCACTCAAGATATAACAACACAACCAAAACTTCTTCTCTCTTATGTGTCTCTAAAGATAGGACATAAGTTAATATATATATATATATATAGAAATCAAAAAAGGTTCTGGTGGATAAGTTACTGGAGATAAGACCAAGACTTGGTGAAGACGACTTGGAAGACATGGACTTGACTAGAAAGACTTAGACTTGGAAGTCTTGGAAAGGATAAGAATTGGTGGACTTGATGAAGACTCGAAGAGACTTGGAGAGAAAGAAAAGAAAAGCCAACCTATAGCACATTATAATATTAAAATACCTGCTAACATTCCCCCACCTATTTTAATATTATAGGTAACAAGAACTGAGATTATTAGGCAAATAAGGTTATTATGCATCATGGTAGGTGTGCTCTGCATTGAACCTCCATTAGTGAAACAATAATATTTACTCCAGAGCCAATAGTATGCTCAGCATTGAACTATGACTACTTAAGGGAAATAAATAATTATTGCACACACATAATATTCCAGGTGTTCACAAAAGCTTTAAAAGCTAGCACATTACGGCCTTGTGCGATCCCAGGATTCATGAGTGTGTTTGAGAATTAGCCCAAATCTTATAGGTAGTGGCCCCACTACCACACTCACATAGGTGAATTCTGTCAAGGGTGCTCTGTAACTATGACACCCCACTCAATAAGAGCTACAGAAATTCATTAAGAGTTTTTTAATAACTCAACCTCTACAACGTTACAGGATAAATGCACTTACATCATAGGGATAGGTAAAAAGTAATTTGGTGCATTTCTCACGGCCATCATATGATCGTTTTTCTCATTGAACCCAGTTACAGGATCTCTGGTCCCTGGGTTGAGTATCCTCATACATGGCTCTTGTTATATTCAATGGGCTTCAACCCCATCTCCCTCGATGTATTCCAGATTCTATCTCTTGCTAAGGCCTTAGTTAATGGATCTGCAAGATTATCACCAGATTTAATATAATCCACACTTATGATGCCATTATTCATATAAGATCTCACAGTACTGTGTTTTCTTCTGATAGGTCTGGATTTACCGTTATAATAACGGTTATTAACTCGACCAATTGCTGCAGTGCTATCACAATGAATCAATATAGGTGGAATCGGTTTTTCCCAATAGGAGATTTCATTTAACAAATCTCTCAATCAATTTGTTTCTTCACTAGCTGTAGCTAAAGCAATAAGCTCAGCCTCCATTGTTGAATGAGCAATAATGGTTTGTTTTTTTGATTTCCAACTTATAGCACCACCACCCAATGTAAATAAGCAACCAGTGGTTGATAATGAATCACCTGACAATGTATTCCAATCGGCATCACTGTAACCTTCAAGTACTGCAGGATACTTATTATAAAACAAGCCGTATTTTATGGTACCAGATAAATATTTCATAATACGCTCAATGGCTAGCTAGTGATCACTGCCAAGCTTGCTAGTAAACCTGCTAAGTACTCCAACTGCATAGGCAATGTCAAGTCTAGTACAGTCAATTGCATAACGCAAGCTGCCAATCATACTAGCATATTTCTTTTGATTAATTACATCCTCATCATTTTCAACAGGAAATAAACGCACATGAGAATCAAAAGGAGTAAGAACATGCTTGCAGTTATAAAAATTATATTTTCTCAAAATTTTCTCAACATAATGCGACTGATCAAGAAATATACCATCACAAGTTTTGGTAATTTTCATTCCCAAAATATAATTAGCCTCACCAAGATCTTTCATATCAAAATGGCTACTAAGCATATTTTTAGTTTCCACGGTGATATGCAAATTAGAGCCAAATATAAGTAAATCATCCACATAGAGGCTAATAATGACACGTGAATTCTCTTCAGATTTATAGTAAATGAATTTATCACATTCATTCGTTTTATAGCCATTCTCAATCATGTAGGAATCAAATTTCTCATGCCACTGTTTAGGGGCCTGTTTTCAGCCATAGAGGAATTTAACTAGCTTGCACACTTTGCTTTCTTGACCGGGTTCCACAAAACCCTCAGGTTGATCCATATAGATTTTTTCACCCAGGTCTCCATTTAAAAAAGCTGTTTTAACATCCATTTGATGAATTTTTAGATCATGAATTGTAGCCACTGCAATTAATAATCTAATGGATGTAACTCTAGTAACCGCAGAAAATATATCAAAAAAATCAAGATCTGCTTGTTGTTTAAAACCTTTTGCAACAAGCCTTGCTTTATATTTATCAATAGTTCCATCCGGTTTATGTTTTTTTCTCAAAACCCATTTACAGCCAATAGTTTTACAACCTGGTGGTAAATCTACTAATACCCAAGTTTTATTGGATAATAATGATTCCATTTCATCATTTACAGTCTCGTTCCAAAAAACAGAGTCAGGAGATGCCAAAGCTTCTTGTAAAGTTAATGGAGTTTCCTCCACATTAAAAACATGATAATCAGGGCCAAAATCTTTTTCTACTCTGGCTCTTTTACTCCTTCAAGGTTCAAAAACTATAGGATCTTGGTTTTGTAAAAGAGGAGTAGAGGAACCAGTTTTAGATAAAATATTTTCTTGATAATTTTGACCCCCACCATTTTTAGATTTAAAAGGAAATTTTTCTTCATGAAAAATTGCATCACCTGATTCAAAAATTATTTTGTTTTCAATATCAAAAAATCTATAGGCTGTACTATTTGTTGCATATCCAAGAAAGGCACAAGTGGCAACTTTCACACCTAATTTAGGTCTTTTAGGGTCCACAAGTCTAACAAAAGCCAGACAACCCCAAACCCTCAAATATCTCAAATTTGGCTTATGCCCTTTCCACAACTCAAAAGGTGTAACTTTTGTTTTTTTATGTGGCACTCTATTCATAACATAACATGCAGTTAAAATTGTTTCTCCCCACAAATTTGAAGGAGCACCTGCTTCAATTAGCATAGCATTTGTTGAATCCGTTAAGGTTCTATTTTTTCTTTCTGCTACACCATTAGATGCAGGTGAATATGGTGGAGTAGTTTCATGGATTATTCCCAAAGACTGAGCAAACGAGTTGAATCCAAAAGATTCATACTCTCTGCCTCTATCACTCCTATACCTTTTAATCTTTTTACCGAATTGATTTTCAACTTCAAGAAAGAATTCTTTAAATTTTTCAAAAGAATCACTTTTATTTTTTAACAAGTATACATAAGTGTATTTTGAAAAATCATCAATAAAAATGATAAAATATCTATTTCCACCATGTGTTAAAATTCCTTCAAATTCACATAAATCAGTGTAAATTAATTCTAACAATTCAGTATTTCTCACCACACTTTTATGAGGCCTTTTAGTTATTTTTACTTGACTGCAAACTTCACATTTCTCAAACTTGTTTGTTAGTTTAGAAATTAATCCTAAACTACTCATGACTCCCACATATTGGCTATTAAAATGACATAGACGAGCATGCCAAAAATTCATAGAAGACAGCATGTAAACAGAAACATGTGCTTTCTTATTCTCAACATTTAATTTAAACATTCCATCACAGGCATATCCTTTTCCCACAAATATGCCTTTTTTAGTGATTACATATTGGTCAGAGTCAATAGTCTGCTTCAAACCAGCTTTGTTGAGCAAATAACTCGACATCAAATTTTTCCTCATGGACGGTGTATACAACACATCTTTTAAAACAAGCACACGTCCAGAGGTAAAATTCAGCTCAACATCCCCACACCCGAGCAAGGGCACAAAAAAACATGACAATGAGAAGGTTGCAAGATTAGTTTGCATGTATGCATGCGTCAAGCTATTCTTTTCTACATCCGGAGAAACAATTGGATGGGCTTTCCACTCATACATGGACCCATTAGACAAAATGATCGAGTATGATTGGGCTGAGAGCATTCGGGGAACCTTGATGGGTTCATTGGGCCAAAACTGTGGAAAACCAGGACGAGTCACTGAATGTGTGATGTTGTTAATGGTAAATCTCATAAAACTTATTCTATGTTTAATATGAACATTTACGGGCTCTGGACACTCTGATGTGAATGTTCACATTTCTCAGCATTGGTGTGGAAGTTGACAACATTGATGTAAACATTCACATTATTGTTTCAGTAATAGCTCCGCGCCGGAGTAAGGTCACTGCTCTTGTGTCATAAGCGCATCTTGTCCTCGTGCTTCCTCCTCCACCCGAATCCGTGTGATTAGAGTCTCCAAGGACGTCTCTTTTTGCTTGTGACGCATTGACTTCTGGAACTCCCTCCAAGATGATGGAAGTTTGTCAACAATACCTGCTACAACAAGATTGTCTCCAATTTTAATGCCTTTAGATCTAACTTCAGCTACTAACATCTGAAAATTTTGAACTTGCTCCACTATTGATTTTCCATTTATCATCTGATAGCGGAAAAAATGGCTTGCAGCATATTTTTTAGCGCCTACCTCTTCAGTGTCATATTTGTTCTGCAAGGCTTTCCAAATTTTCTTGGCAGTGGTGTAAGTAGTATCATAATAATCATAAAATTGATCTGAAAGACAATTCAAAAGATAGTATCGACATTTATACTCATCTGTGTTGTATTTTTCGAGTTTTTCAAGATGAGTGGCATACTCCTCGTCGGTCATCTCTTTAGTGGGGACTTTGTTCGGATTTTTCTCGGTCAGGATATAAGCCACCTTGAGGAGACTGAGGTAGAAAAGCACATTGCCTTTCCATCTCTTGAAATGAGCTCCCTTGAACCGGAAGGGCTTGTTGAGATCGCCGGTATTCTCGTTGGGCTTCTCCAGTACTGGCTCCATGAACTTTTGCTATTTGAATCTCCTTAAAATTGTTGGTGATAATTACAAATAACACACCAGAAAATACAAATAATAAAATTACAATAACTTATTATCAAGGCTGAGGCGCGGGAAACTCGCTCTCTTTAAGGAGATTCAAGCCCTCTGCGGTTAGGCAAAGCCTCACACCGGTGCAGCAGAACAAACCTTGACTTGTCCCCCCAGGATACAACAGCCCGACTAAGTCGTATGGTTCACCAATACTGCACAATTGGTTAAACCGAAAGCTTTATCACACACACCCTTTTTATTTGCCTGATAATCTCACTCAAGATATAACAACACAATCAAAACTTCTTCTCTCTTATGTGTCTCTAAAGATAGGACATAAGTTAATATATATATAGAAATCAAAAAAGGTTCTGGTGGATAAGTTACAGGAGATAAGACCAAGACTTGGTGAAGACGACTTGAAAGACTTGGAAGACATGGACTTGACTAGGAAGACTTAGACTTGGAAGTCTTGGAAAGGATAAGAATTGGTAGACTTGATGAAGACTCGAAGAGACTTGGAGAGAAAAAAAAGAAAAGCCAACCTATAACACATTATAATATTAAAATACCTGCTAACACTAACCAATAACCACACCTTGAAAATATGTCCTAACCCTGAGAACCACACCCTTCACCTTCTCAAAAAACATAACCCTAACTAGAGGAAAATAGCAATATACAACGTAAACACATATAGTCTCTAATTTTTTTATCTTCTTTTTCTTTTCTGCATCTCATCTCTAGCCTCTGAAGTTTTTGATCTCAATTATGTCTCTTTCCTAAAGTCCATGAGTAAGGGCTTTAAATCGGTTGGCTTGGCATTCCATTGTTGTTCAACATCTTCTGCAATCCTTCTTGCATCCATTGATGTTCCGAGTAAGCCACGTTTGGTGAATCCGACTGCATATAATCCATTTTCGCCTTTCCATCCGTGTGGGAATGGTTTCCTTGGAAACCCATCCTTCTCTGAGAAGAAATTGTTCTCCTGGAAACATCAAATTTGAGCCCCATAAATCTCTTTTATAGATATTTCAAATTTGGATAATGGTATTTTTTATAGAAAAATACATAAAATATATACTTTTTGCATCACTTTATATTAAATTCTATTTTGGTCTCTCATTTTTTAATTGTAACAATTAACATTTGTTCAAGTTAAAATAGTCAAGTCGAAAATTGTCATGTGACTATTGCATGTTTTTTTATTAGTAAAAAAAAGAAACTTTATTGATAAAATCATCGTATAAAGAATACATACATAAACATCAATAAAGAATTGCAAGTACAAAAAATATCATAGCAAAACTAAATGATCCAAATTAAGTTGGCACTGTAAAGCAAGTTCAATTATATGCTAACACAACACCAAGAGTTGGTAAGGGACCAATGATATACTTATTAGGACAAAAATGCAATTTTATTTTATTTTTTTATACCAATTTGTTTTCTCTCTATATTGTATTTTCTTGGTGGTGAGTTTAGAAAATATAATAAAGAGAGAAAATACTCACTACAACATATAAGAGTTTTAGTAACTCAATTTTTTTTATCAATTTTATTCTAAAAAATATTGGGAGATCAATTTTTGTTGTCACACCAACAATTGCTAAATAGTTATCCAAAAAAGTTTAAACAAAAAAAATTAACAACAAAATTTAGAAAATGTCACTAGTAACTATAAAAGCAAAATAGTTTGATACCAAAAAGTTTTATTTTTTGACAAAAAATTAGGCCCAAAAGAACTATAATTTATCATAAATGTCAAATTTCGTCACTAAAAATATAATAATGACATTTTTGGCAAATAAAATATTTTATCTCTAAAAACTAATTTTATTTTTAAATTTTTGTCTGTAGTGACTATAAAAGATATAGAAGCAAAAAAGTTTTGTAAAAAAAATGCATTTTTGCCTTAAAAAATTGACTCGTCTGAGTGTTACGTAACAGTTTCCATTAAGCAATTTTAACACAAAACTAACGCAACGATCACATTGCAACTTGACCAAAAGTATTGGGATTAACCGTTATAATTAAAAATTTAGAAATCAAAGTGCGGAATCTGATGTAAAATATAGGGGTAAAATGTGTACGTTACCCCTTATGAGTATTTTGTGCATTTTGTGTGCATAAATTCTGTGAACATAGCAAAATTGTGATATTTTTTTGCAAAAAAATTAGTAGTTGAAAGAAAGGGAAAAGAAGGATACCTTCAACCAAATGGGTACATTGCTTTTGTAACCAGTAGCTAAGATGATAGCATCAAAATTCTCCTCTCTTCCATCTATGAGCTCCACTGAGTGATGTGTTAGTCTCTTTATTCCATGGCATACCTACACAATATATATAGTGAAATTTCACTTCATTAATTAGTATGCCATTGTGTCTCTAAATATGGAGATTTTGAATAGATATTCAGCAAGATTGGCTTTCTCCAAATCTTTTAGCAACAAAAGAAAAAAGAGAAGGACTTTGATAAATTTAAAGAGAGAAAAGAATGTTTTTTTATTTTTAGGAACCGACCTTAATATTCCCAGTTTTTATTTTTTGAAGTGTTCCAATATCCAACACCGGTGTCTTCCCGGAGCTGCTCTTGAGTTCGAGGGGACCAAGTTTTGGTCTGGTGAGCCCTAGTCGAGCTGTGTCTCCAATCATCAACCGGGACAATAGAAGTAAAAATCGATCCACCAATCGCATTGGGAACCACTTGAGCAAACACATCGACAGTCCGAAAGTTGATCTCCCCAGCATTTCCTGTGGCAAGACGTGAACCTGTCGCGGGAAAAAAAATAATTAAAAAATTTACAAACTAGTATTTTGGATTATATTTTTTAAAAGCTAAGTTTTTTTGTTTTTGTATTTTTTTGTTTATAGTAAATATTTTTAAAATTTTAAACATTATTTTTTTAGATATAACTTACTTACATGTATCTAAAAAGTAAAAATTTGTGAAAAAATATTTTTAAAAAATTAATAAACACAAAAAATGTACTGAATTCTCTTGTTATTTTTTTTTTGTATTTTTGGTATTTAGTAAATTTTTAAAAAGTTTTTTCACAAGTTTTTTACTTTTTAAGTATATTTATGGTAGGTATGTCTAAAAATTAAAAAAAAAATTGCTTAAAATATTAAAAAAAATTTAATAAAAACAAAAAAATACGGAAAATAAGAAAATAAAAATTTTCTGAAAAATATTTTTAAAAAACTCTAAGCAAGCAAAGTTTTTTTTTAAAGAAATGCTCTTTTGAAGAATTTAAAGATAGGAAAAAGAAAGGACCAAAGAAGAGAATTTTGATGAGGCCGTATGATGTGACATGGCATCTTCGATACCATGACTCCCATGCACTTTTTCTGTTCTTTAAAATCTATTGAACTGGTATATGGTTCTTTGTACAGAAAATTTATTGAAAGAAAAAAGAAGTGTATGATTAAAGAATTTGGACAGCAGACTAGTATGCGCATGGCCGCACGATCCTTTGGTTCTTATTTTAAAACATTTACAATCATTAAATTATGTCTCAATATTTTCATATCTCAAAATTTTTACATAATTTATGAGTGTCTGGAACAGGAAGCTAAAAGATTTGAGGACAGAATGTCATTGACCTCGTGCATGTAAGCGAATTCCGAGAAAGTTGGAACCAAAGACAATATTTGTACTACAATATGGAGAGGGAGGGAGGGAGGGAGGGAGAGAGAGAGAGAGAGAGAGAGAGAGAGAGAAGTGTGCTTACTGAATCTCTAACCACAAGGGATGGAATAGCATTATAATTGCAGAGGTCCAAACAAACCTCCATGCCTGAATTCCCACAACCAACCACCAAAACTTTCTTCCCACAAAACGATTCACCGGTCTTATATGAACTCGTATGAACAATTTGCCCAACGAATTCACTCATCCCTTCAATTTCCGGCACAACCTCTTCTGCATTCTCTCCGGTGGCAACAACTAGCCATTGACACACATACTCAGTCTCCTCCATTTTCAGCCCTTGAGCCCTAACCCTCCAAAACCCACATCCGTTGTCAAAATTTGCACTCACCACCGTCTTATTAAACACCGGTTCTAAGTTAAAACTTTGCGCATAAGCCTCTAAGTAGGCGATAAACTGTTGTTTTGAAGGGTAAGTTGGGAAATTTGGGAAATTTGGAGGGAAGTGCATAAGAGGAAGCTCACAGAATTGCTTAGGAAGATGAAGGCGAAGCCGGTCATAGGTCTTTTGCTGCCACAAAGAAGCTATGCAATTAGCCCTTTCAAGAATCAAAGTTGGGACACCTTTTTGTTTGAGACAGGCAGCTGAAGCTAGCCCTGACGGGCCAGCGCCGACTATGACAGGTCCCGGCACCCAAACCCTTTTCACTGAGTTGCTCATCTTGTCGTCAAAATGGTCATGTAGTCTTTTACCTTCCATTTCTTTCAAGTAGTCCATATGAAGGATAAGATGTTAAGCAATATATAGAAAGAAAAGTTGATATACTTCAGAAACTGAGAAAAACCCAATTACCCAATTACTCGAAAATCTCTTTTTGACACAAGATAGAAGTTAGAACTCTCTCTTGGTGATTGAGATAAGATATTTGGCTGAGATTAGAGATATGTGTTTGATCGTCTTGAAAGGAATGTTTATGGAGAGATTAGAGATTGAGCTTTGATTAATTGGAGAGAAAATGGAGAGGGAGAGCTATGGAAACAAGAAAGACATTGATGACTATAATATAGTGAGAAAGGAGAGGAAATTGAGATGGGAATCAAGATGGAATTGGAGTCAAATATATAAGGAAATTGCTTTAGAGCTCTAAAAGAGTAGTTCTAAACTAGCATTAAATTATCTTTTTCTGTCCTTTGTTTTGTCTTTTTCTGTTTTTTTTTTTTTTTTTTTAAAAAAAATGGTTGCCAGCTCAGTAGAGCTGCTATTAGAGCAGCTCTACTAGAGCTCTCAATCAGTGCTGAATATATAAATAAGTAGCTAGATGTGCGTGAGAGAGAGAGATTGAACAGTAAAAGACATAATTCAAGTGGGACGTCTCATTTGTAATAACTTCCATTTAACCGACGACAACCTCTTCTTCACCCACTCATTACATGTTACATTTGTGTAAGTCTAGAGAGAAAGGATTCTAAAATATCAGTCAAGAATCTTATGACTTTAAAATCTTTGTTTCTTTTGCCCTATACAACTAGGCTACGTGGTGAAAATCTTAAAATAAAATAATTTTAATAGGAGAAAAAAATAGAATATTCAGACAAAAATTTCATGTCGACAGATACTGACCTTAAAATGATATTGATGATGTCTTAGTCCATCAATTCAACTGAATCGATAGTAGAGATGATGACATAGCGGTCAACCATTTGCTTAATTAAGGATATTTTTTGAGCGCCGGTATAGTTTGAGATGTAAGAATGGACCAATTGGTGACAATTATGGATCATTTATTTTTGTGATTTCAAAAGCTTGTTTACTATATTAGAATTAGTTATTAATTATCTTTAAATTATCAAAATTATTAATTAATGCATAATTAAATATGTCCTTAATTATAACTTAACTTTTATTTGGAGTGCCTATACTACTTTGTCACATAATCACGAGGCCATATATATATATACACACAGACATATTGGACCTTCAGACATTTAGTACTCTAACCCAATCAACCCAAAGTTATAAATTAAAAATAGTGTTCTTAGCTTTGTTTATAGTCATTCTGTCTGTGGAAGCCATAAAAGGTTAGTTTAGCATAATTTCGTCCCTTGCTTTTAAAGTAGAGGTATTTATTTAAATATTTTTTCCTTCCACATTTCTCTCCATATCTATAGACAATATATTATAATGAAAATTTTTTGTTAATAGTTTCTGTATTTTATTCCTCATTATACTTTGGTCCCCACAATTCTAATTAACTCGTTTTTAACTTAGATTTTAGAATATGTGTCATTTTGATCCAATTGAAAACTAGCGTTCACATTTTTGACGAAAAACTCACATTTTTGATGAAAAATTCACACGTAAACGACATATGATTGGTTTTCAAGGACAAAATAGATATTTCACTCACTTCTTTTTCATCGTCTTCCTCAAACTATTCTGCAATAAACAGAGCCACCCCCCACCTTCTCTGCCACTGCCAAACAACACCACAACATTCACCATATAGATCTGTAAAATAATCACAATAGCGAACCCTAGATCCAAGAAGGAAGAAGAATAGAGACAGAGACAGAACAAGAGAGAAAATGAGGAGTAGATCTATAGATCTCACTATGACAAATTAAGGTTTTGGAAACAAAAATTTAGACACAAAATTACTTTTTATGAATAATTTATTTTTGTTTGTCAAAAGTGTCATCATTATATTTTTAACGGCAAAATTGGATATTTAGTGACAAATTACAATTCTTTTGGGATCAATTTATTTTTTTTGTAAAAGTGCATTTATTAACGATATTTTAAAAATTTTATCGCTAAAAGTTTTCATTTTTTTACTTTTTGGGACCATAATTTAGTAACTATTTTTGCCACTACAGCAATTGGTCTCAAATTTTTTTGCATTGTCTCCAGTTTCCCTTCCCCCCTCCAACTAGGACACTAGTCCCCTTCACCTTCCCAACTACAATACAATTCCCTTCTATATATTTCATATTTTATTTTAAAATTTTTTATCAATGTGTATATTCAGTTCCCTATATTAAAATCTTGAGTCGGTCAATGATTTTTTTTATTTATTTTTTTTTAAAGGAGCTGACAATTGTATTAATGAACAATGGAATATTACATCAAAGTAATACATCAATGCAATCCAGAATAGCAGCAAGCAAAAAAACAAGCAAAACTACTACCACATTGGAGAGGTTCCAAATTCGGTAGCAGAAGCAAAAGAGACACTAAAATAAAATGAAACGGAGTCAAAAACAGAGTTTGGAAAAAAAAATAACCCAACATCCTTACCCAAAAAAACCGTTAAAAGGCAACGCAAAATCTGGTTATAGCAAGAAAGCAGCTGTGCAAATGGTGATGCTGCAAGCTCTTAGGTTAAACTGGCTCAAAATACCACCACGAATTTTATGAGTTCGAACAATTCCTCGCAATTTGGTTGTGCTCCATTGAACAAGCACTGGTTTCTCAGCCCCCAATTGACCACATCACAGCTAGCAGAATGACTTCCCAGACTTTGATTTGAGGCCTGGGCTGCCAATACTTCGATTTTCTTCAATATTGAGCAACTCTTATCATTATCTAGCATCACGAGATACTTCTCCAATTGTAAATGGTTGTTTGGTGATATTTCAGGCCATTCATATTATGTCATTTGTCTATTTATCTTGCAAAAATTAATACAAAAAATAGAAATTTTCATTATTTCTACCAATAAAAAAAATTGTTTAAAACACCACATCGATTTGTTTCTAAACCATACTATAATTTTCCCCAATTGTGAGTCAATATTGTACTAACAACTTGCATGCAATGGATGATAGAATAGGAAGGACCATTCGAAAGATTAATAAAACCTGTCCAAGTCGTGTAACCGACCAACAAGTTCCAACTTTGAATAAAATGTGTAGTGATTTAGAATTTTGATACTCTTATACTGTGTGTGGTTGGATGATTTGAGAAAAAATTTAAAAATTGAATGGAAAAAGGTGTGTGAAATTAGGTGAAATGTAGGTATATTTTATACACATTTCACATTCCTTTTCTATTTCCCTTTATAAATCATTTTTCAAATCCCCCAACGAAACATGGTATTAGTAGTTATCAATGACATAGATTTTCATGCCTTTGATGTCTCAAATAAGAGGGAGATCTCATTTTAGATTTTTTTTTTTTTTTGACAAATTATATGTATAATGCTTGTAATTTGCCTCTTGTATTAATTTAATATTTAAAAGGATAAATTATACTTTGTCTCCTTTATGTTTGGCCACTATTTTGGTCTTTAAAGTTTATTTTTTCCCATTTTTACATTTCATGTTTCAAGTTTTTTCCATTTTAGTCCTAAAACTAATTTATGTTAAAAATTAGATAAAAAATGACATGTTAACAATCATATGGCATAAAAAAAATATATTCTATATGACTCACATCTCTGATATAAACTTAAAATTCCATATAATTATTTTTTATATTATGTGACAGTTATTGTGGCATTTCTTATCTAATTTTGAACATACGTTAGCTTCAAGAGTAAACTAAGAAAAACTTGAAAGATAAAGGGTCAAAGTGAAGAAAAAACAAACTTTAGGGGGGCAAAGTGAAAAATTGGCCAAACATAAAGGGGACAAATTGTAATTTACTCTATTTAAAAAGAAATACTACACATTCGTAAAACATGACCCCTAAAGCTTTTTTTGGTCCTTATATTAAATTGCATCAATTTACAATCGCATTTTTCACATTGTTTTAATTTAGTTCAATTGATAATATTCATCTAAAAATTAAACTAAAATTAGGGGACAAAGTAGTGCATTCATTCTCCTCAAAGTGATGGAGAGATTGATATCAAATTTGAAATTGTTCATTTCCTTTTGAATGAATTATTTTATCCTTGTTTAGAGTATTGGAGGGGGGATTGGACTCCATGTCCATTTCATGAAGGAGTTCATTGTTTGGTTAAAAATTTGTAAGCTCAATTAGGAATCCAACCGGACTCACATCCTTCATATGTGAGATCGCTGTGTTCTAGAGGAGAGGTGGGATATAAATGGTGGGATAACAATCTCATGGGATTAACTTGTAAAAAATCACTTTTGCCTCCCAAGTACATGTATCTTTAATTTTTTTCTCAAATTTTTTTTTTCAAATTATTGGATAAAAGTTCAATTTTTTTTCCAATGGTGGGATAAAGATACAATTTTTTTTTTTATCACTATTACATAGACAAATTGTTGGTTTTATTATGTATTATACTTAACAAAATAAAATAAAATTTAAAAGTCTCAACTAAAAAATAAAATAAATTTATTTAATTTTTATTGATGTTCCATTTATTTAATTTTTTAAAAGATCTAGCCAATAAATAAAATAAAATTTGTAATCCATATTTTGTATTGCTATTATTTAGTAAACAATACAAAAGGGTAAAATAATGTTTTGAACATTTATTCTTCTTCATACTATCTTAAACAAATATAGGATTCAATAGATTAGTCATTTCCTGACATCTAATCTCATTACTAAATAAATATGGGATACACATCATTTCCAATCAAATAATCCAGATACTATGTTAATAAATGTTGTCAATTGAACTAAATTAACATAATCTGAAAAATTGAAAGACAAAATTAATACCATTGAAATTATAGAAACCAATTGAAAATTGAAAATTGGTGTTTTCCTCTTCATCGAAGGTCAATATATATAAATATATATATATATATATATAAAGAGAGAGAATAATTTGACACAAGATGCAAATTACAAGACGGTAAATATAATTTCTTTTAAAACAAAATGGGATACAAATTAACAACTTTTACTAAATTTTCTCCCTTTGTTGGGGGTGGATGTTGCTTGCTTCTTCCCGCCGTCACTTTTCTAAATGTTTTATTTTCAATTCATAAAATATATATATATATATATATATATAAAAAATAAAAAAAAATTGAAATACTAATAAATTTTAAAATGTAATCTTATGAACTATTTAATCTTTCTTTTTTTCTTATAAACCCAAAGGTCCCATTAAAATGAAAATTACACAAAATGATAGTCAGTTA